TGTATGTGTGTGTGTGTGTGTGCATTGAAACACCAAACCAAAGTACCAGACAATAAAGATTGATCTTATCCTATGTCTTCTCATCTCATCTTATCTATCTTACCCGAATATGTTCAGACGTGCAGACAAAAAAGGCAGGGTAATTGAGATAAGACGTGGCAGAGAAAGAAACGAATCAAATTTGGAAGTTCCATTAAAGTGAAAAGGTCAGTAAGATCTACCTCACACGTTGAGTCCTGCCTGATTTCCTCCGAGATCGCCTTGAAAGGCTGAGGGCTTTTGGCCGGTTTATCTTTGAACTATCTAATTTGGCCAACATTTTGGCGGGCGGTTCCGGCTGGTCGTCTGCTGCTGTGACATCTCCATCTGACGTCAGAGACCTCAGACGGCGCAACATATCCTTCCGCATGGGCTCATCTGATGAAAAACAGAGTGCATCGTGTGGGTTGAACAACCATTTCTACACTGCATCATGTGAGGTTTATTGAGTTCTATATATTATTATTCATTTTTTAAATACTTTTGAGATACTGGGCGTCAAAGTTTGTGAATGTTAAAGCCAAAAGCAGACAGAACATTTTTCATGTGCATTTTCTAAGAACAGAATAGTCACAGCAGAAGGAGAGCATCATTTAGTGCCTTTCAGATAGAACAAGCCACAACAAACCGTAATTCTAAACATTCACACAACTTTAAATTGCATATGATGACTGTAAGATTACTTGAGAGGCAAGACCTCCGAATCTAACGTCCATCTCCGATACGACCGAGCCAAATTGGGAGGGGGGAAGGGGTCATTGAAATCCCCTCCAGAGAGCGCCTTAGTATATAACATTTGAACCTGGGCCATCTATACTATGGTCCAGTATGATACCAACTGAGGTTATTATCCCCCCCACCCCACCCCCCCTCACCACCAATCAATAACAGTGCATCTGGTTTGGTTTGACTACATAAAAGTACATCAGCTTGGCAAAGGCCACGTTGTGTGAGGAACCTGCAGGTGTAAGACAGACCGACAGAAAAAAACCAAAGGAAAGAAAAGCACGTAAGACCCACCACTGGCGTTCTACAAACTACATACCCACAAGTCCATCTGGTGTTTAGAGACCGTTGTTATGGCTTTAAAAAGACATTGATTTGACGGATGAAAAAACTCTCAGTTTGAAAATAATAATGTCAGAAAGCACGTATTAAGGGCAATGCCCGTGTGTGTGTATATATATA